TGAAAATATTGATGAAAATATTGATGAAAATATTGATGAAAATATTGCTACAAATAAAAGCATACAGGGCTTGGTGACTAGATATTGCTCCTTTGTAACCAGGCATGTACAGACAGTGTGCTCAGAGAGATGAGATAAAAATGAAAATGGGAGACAGGACAAGAATTTCGGAGGTGTGGCATGTCTGGCACTGGTGGTTGTGGCTGTGCTCGTAATGCTCTGATATGCAAAAGATACGCTTCTAGGCAGTTACACCTCTGAAAATGTGATGCTCTCTTTCTCCATGCCTAATCCTTGCATCACGGGAGAGGCTCTGAATGTACAGTAAAGCCTTTGATCTGCTTTGAGAGAGGTATTGGCAGAAACTTTTTAGGACTGGCTGCAGAGCTGTTAGGATGTGGGTCACAGCAAAATGCTGTATTGATACCCTGGAGGAGAGTCTGAACTTTTTATTCTGCACAGAACAGAACCTGAGATTAACTGTCTGCCTTACATCTGGATCAGAAAAGTGGATTCCTCAGTTGTTCTCCATGTTTTTGAGTTGGGTTCAGTGATCCAAGATCTTGCAAAATGTTGCAGTATTTGGAAACATTGTGCTGCAGTGCTTATACTCCAGATATTGCATTTGATTTTGCTTTCTGCTTTATGCATTTCCAGTAAGAGTTGCTTTGGGCTTTTTTTTTTTTTTCCCCAAGGAAACAAGAAAAGAGTTAGTTTTGGAATTCAAAGATATATGTTTTTAGGATTAAATATGTTTTGGAACCAGGAAGAAACAAGCTCTTTCTCAGCATGATGAAGGCTAGAGAAAAAGGCAAAGTTTATCGTGCAAGCTTTATGTTTTCCTGCTATTAATGATACTTCCTAAAATGCCTCGAGAAGTTCTAGTTGGAGCTTGCCAGTCACTGGAGCCTTTTTCAAAGGGCAACATGGGTGCTGTACCTTATTTTCAGATGCTTTATATTTAACCTGTTTATCTCTGAGGAAACAATTGATAAACAATCTCTATGTTAAGCATTCTTCTGTAAATGTCACCGGGGAAAGTGCAGGTAGGAAAATGAAGCTAATGCATTCTCAGTGCTCTACCCTTCCTACTAATTCTGCCCTGGTGGTTTTTCTGATAAGCCAGATTTTTCGCTATAACTGGAAACAGAGCAGTGCTGTGACATTGTGTTAATGCTGCAGTAACGTGTAGCCAAAGCAATTAGAAGGAAGAAAGCTGATACCGACAGTAAGTTCACATTCACTTTTTGTTCAGACATGTTTTGCTGGAGTTGAGTTTATCAAACGAAATGTTAAGAAAGCGAAAAGTGAGAAATAAGCCTGTGTGAGGCTCAGTGCAGGTGGCTGTGCCTCAGAGCCCATCTGTCGTGCCCTTGCTCCTTTGCTTAAGACAAAGCTGCTCTGGACTGGATGGGGCCCAACCTGCGGAGCGCGGATCTGCAGGACGTCCCTCTGTCACCGTTACGCTGCGTGTGCAGCGGCGATGATGCACAGTGATGTGGTGGCATTTGTGGATTTCAGTTACAGAGGGGAGGGCAGGAATGGTTGTCCTTGTTTCCGTTCCTGCTGTGGGTAGAGCTGATGCAAGCAGAAGTGGTCAAAAACATTCATGTGTGTTCAGGTACAGAGTTCAAACATACCTCTAATTTGGAAGCTTTTGTATTCTGCTGAACCCAAAATGCCATAGAGGAGAAACAAGTCATGTTTTCATCCAGGTTTGGAGCCCAAGCCATAACACTCAGTGGTAGCTGCAAGTCCATGGTGGTTTGGCTTCAGATTCACGAGTACATGCTAAAGCACTTTGGCAGTATTGGCTTTTTGAGAGCTTTCTGCTGGAAAATCTGCAGCTAGTTTAATTCTGGGCACACAGCTTGCTGAAAACAGTTCAGATTTTCTTGGTAGAGATTTCTTGGACTAATAATCATAACTCTTTGGTTGTTGAGGTCAAAGCTCAGAAGCAGTACACTTAACTTGCCCGTTCCTCCCTGGGTGGAAAACTCAATGTACAAAGTTATGGTTGCAATATTTAAGGATTTACAAAAATGAGCTATTTCCTTTGGAGACAACAATTAAATTAATAAAGTAATCTTGACAGAGGGCAAGGAGATTGCTTCAGGAACGTGAACAGGAAAGCTGACTCGATGGCATATTTGAACTTGGAAAGCCAAAACGTGATTTCCAAGGGTGGGGGTGAGATCTGCAGCCGTTGAAAAGGTTAGAATTATTTTAAAGCAATTTCATTTATTTTATTTTATTTTTTTCTATTTAATGAAATGGGGAGGGGGGGTGTTGGGAGAAAATTAACCTATTGTAGTCTGCCAACCTGTTCTGCTGGGAGGGTATTTCTTTCATGGATTACCTAACACACCTAAGTGCTGTTGTATAAGCCACCTCTATGTTGATGTATAGGGCACCACATAATGTTTCCCTTTTAAGTGGTAGCACTGTGGTCTGAGGATATAAGTAAAGCCAAGTAAATAGGGAGAGTAAATCAAGGAAGCTGAGTGACTTTTCCTGCAGCCTTACTACCCTTGTGTTGCATCTCACCTTCAGATGTGCAGCAGCAGCTGCTGTCTGGGCATGGAACTGTTTCTTCCAAACGTGCATCACCCAGAGAAGCAGTAAGGGAAAGCCTGCTGGTGTCCTGATTCAGCAGCTTGGAGCGTGTGATCCTCATTGCCTGCGTGTGAACCATCTATCAGGGAGTGCAGAGGAAGTGAGTGCATTTAGTTGAGGGCTGAAACATTTAGTTCAAAGAGAAATCATGTTGGAGGATTCAGGCAGCTTAGTCTTCCAAAAAACAATGTAAGATAGAATATGATGGATTAGTTTCTAGTAAACAAGGCTTCTCTGGAAACATATCTCACTGGAGCTGTGGTCATCACGGTCCCTGGGGGAGACTTTTGCAGTTCCTTAGAATTCTCCTCTGGCCTTTAGAGAGCAGCCTGGATGAGCCAGTTTCACAGAAGATGATGGCAGCGTTGCTCTGTGTTTTTCCTTTCCAAGTGTGTCTGCTGAGATGACCAAAGCAGGTGCTCTCACTTGATTTTAGGCACTCTTACTTCATTATCTTAAGAAATAATGTGCCAGGCTAGTTAAGTATTGCATCGGAACAGAACAGTTACCTGAGCATGCAGTTTCATACTGCTGCATCCTTCATGAGCACAGTATTCTTAGGATTTTAGTAAAATATTTGGTTCATTTACTTATTTTTAAACAAAAGAGAAAGTATCACTTTAAATCCTCCAGTGTATCCTTCATACTCAAGGAGCTTATGGAGGTAATTTAGGTTCTGTGGTGCACTGCGTCCTCTCCATTACGTGTTTACCATTCAACTGACACTTTTCTCAAATATTTGCTCTGCTGTTTCACTGCAGTTGCCCTCTCCTTCTCCATTCCCTCACCATCTTTTTCCATGGAGGTATCGCACATATTTCAGTCACCCTGTATTTAAATAGCAGCACTCCCTCCCAGAGCAAACAGGCAGTCGTTAAAACAATGAGGAAGACCAACAGTGGAGGAGGGTATGGGTGAGGCCAGGAGTGTGCAAGCACGGTTTTGCAAGAGGCTTCCTTCTGAAGGAAAACTTTCCGTTAGTAGCAGGCTGTCAGTCTGTACTGCTTGGTGAGACTGAACAAAGGGGAAATCAGTGCTGCAGAGAGCTGGGCATCACTTAAACTTCTGGAGAGTTGTCCAAATTATTGCTCAAGGTGAGACATAAAGCAAAACAATGGGACCGCCATGTTTTCTTACCTCCGCCTGGAGCAGAAAGAAGGAAGAGGAGCTGCTTGTCCTCAGGAGGTCCCTGCTTCTTTCTCTTGAACAGCAGAGAGCTTAGTGAGACTATGAAGAGCACCTGGGGCTTTTTTGAAGGATCCTGTATGCGTCAGTTCTCTTCTGTAATCCAGAGCAGACAGCTGTATGCATACTTCACTGGCAACTCCAGACCTGTGCATCCTTTCCCTGAGTGGAGAATCCGCTGTTGAGAATTAAGCAGCACACTTGGGTTACTGCAATCTCTGTCCTATGCCCAACCATCAGGCTGAGATTGGATGTGGTGTCCTGGGAGCGATGGGGCTAGAAGTGCGTTAAAAATAAAGGAAAAGAAAGCATAAATTGAAACTATTTCAGCTTTTCAACTATTTGTGGTGTTTAATGGTTTTGTGTCTCTACAGATAAAAAGCATGGATGTAAAAAGTAGTGTTGGAGAATTCTTGTTCAAGCAGAAAACAAGAACTTAATATATGGCACATTTATACTTTGTTTAGTTTTGCAGTTGTTTAGTTTGTAAATAAAAATCAGTTGAGAAAGGAGCTGGGATGTGCATGATGAAGGCAGCGTGAGCTGGCAGGATTGCACTCTGAGTCAAGTCCTACACTTCTAATGGGATGTGTGATACTGGGTTATCTTAGCTTCTCTGCCATTCAGTGTTTCATACGTGGAGCAACTTCCAGGTTAGTCTTTGTACTGACAGATAGTGGAGATGAATGCCTTGCTTCCCTTGCAGCTGCCCTAGGCCTTTTGAATTTTCAGCTAAAATTTTCCATGGGAGCTGCAGATCCTTGTGCAGCGGATGTGACCTTACTGATAACAGATGTGGTTTTCCTTCTTCACCTTCTGCTGACCTACTAGAGGTAATGAACAGCAGGCCCTTGGAGATCTGCAAGCCTACAGTGAAAACCACCGTGTGTGCAAGCACAGTGTGCAACACAAACATGCTGTGGTGCTGTTACCTACATCAGTGATTTCTGATTGTCAAGTCCAGTCTTGAAAAACTCAGCTGAGCAGAAGTTTTCCTTTCGTAGTACAGATCAATAAGGTTCCTTAACAGACTGACTATTTCCCAGGTGCCAACTTTGTATCTGAAATCAGCTGATAGTCTTGCATTTCTGGCTCTCAAGGCTGTCCCTGGTTCAAATAGTCATCAAAGGGTAACATTGTTTTAGCACAGATCACGCCTGCTTTGGTCCTTTCTCCTCTCTC